GACCTGAAACTGAGAGCTCTCCACCACTGCACTATGCAGACTTCTCTTGGGCTTCGACTTCTGCTACTGTAGAGAGTGCTCACCCCTACGACCAATACTAGGACTGTTGAAATCAGTCCTTGATCTAAGTCTGTCCTATAAAGACCTCTCTTGGCAGCCGAATGGCTACTAACTACTAGAAGCAGTCTAGTAGGACATCAACTTCTGGGTCTTACTTCCCTTGTGTCCTACAACCAAGGGAAACCCTAAGTTCGAACCTTGTTCTGTTCTACGGCAACCCTAGGGTTTCTCCGCAGCAACCAGGATAAAAAAAAAGAGAGAAAGAAAGCAAGAGAGAAGAGTTGGCATCGGCTGTAACCAGAAGATCGCTCAATGCTCTGATACCATGTTTGCTGAAAGGTTGTAGCTGAAGTAGTAGAAGAGAGGTGAAGGCAAACAAGTGCTGAGAATGTCGAACTGAGTAACCCAGTCGACAGTACTATTATTTATAGTAGATTACAATACAGTGTTACATGAAATGTCTGGAATGCCCCTGATTAGTGATGGGACACCCAGACAGCCTAAAACACTAAACAGACTTAGGCCCAATAACAAAGGCCCAGTACCTAACAACTTAAAACCCAATACTAACTAACATGTACACTTATAAGCCGAACCAACAATACATAAAAACAGTCAACTTAACAATTGCCATGTTCTCGGGACCTATAGGCTGGGGGGATTCATTGAGAGCTGAAATTTTGGCAGCTCTAGAAGGGATTAAAAGAGCCTAGCAGCTGAAAATCAGCAAACTTTTGGTGGAAGGCGACTCTAGACTGACTGTTAGTTGGCTGCAGAAGGAAGATTCTAGTCTGTGGAAGTTCTCCAATGAAAAAAAGAAAATCAACCAGCTAACTCAAAACACACAAATTCAGGTTCAGTGGGCCAAGAGGAGTGCTAATTCTCTGGCAGACACTTTGGATAAACAAGGGGTGGGAAGAGCAAATCTTTTTTGGGCATTGTTGTAACCTGATCTTTAATGTTAGGGAGGGTTAAGAGCTTTTACCCCTCCCTTCATATTGTACTTTTCTTAATAAAAGTTGCTGGTATTGATAAAAAAAAAAGATTTGAAGTTTGGTAGACCAAGCAATTATGTGGGGTGTGCGGGAAGAAAGAAACAATAGGACCTTTGAGAATAAAGCCAGAACAGTTGAAGACTTGATATCCTCTATCACCTTTCTTTGTAATGTTTGGCAGTTAATTTAGAAGAGTTTTTTGGTATCTCTTTCAGTGATCTCTATAAAAATTTAGTGGAAGTCCTCTACTCTTCTGTCTTCCCCTGGTCATGCTGCTCATATCCACTTCATTTCAAGTGAGGAGGGCATGACGAGATTAGGTTTTGATGGAAGCACCCAAGGGATCATTGGTTTAGCAGGGATTTGAGGTATTATCCGGGATAGAGATGGGAATATTTGTTGGGTTTTCAGTGGTCCGATAGGAAGTTCTGATTCTACAAAGGCAGAAATTTTGGCAGCCCTCATCGGGCTTCGTTGTGCTAAAATGTTAGGTTTTTCCTCTCTAGTCATTGATAGAGGGCAATTTGACCCATCCACATGGGGCTCCGCATTGCCCTGCCTCGATCGATGCAGGGTTTTTTACCATTGATCAAGGTCCAAAGTGTGTTTCTGGAAAACCCGAAACTTTGGGGATCAAGGACTGGGGACTGGGGACCGGGCAGGGATTTGTATTTGTCCACCCGGCCCCGGCCCTGAACCTGCCCTAACTATATTATATTACATTATACATATATAAAATTGTTAATATATGTTAATATATATTACTTTATATTATAATATTATATTATTACAAAATATAATATAGTACTGGGGTAGGGCAGGGATAATTTGGGGATCCCCATTCCCCATGGGGACAGGGATGGGGATGGGATTGGGATTTTAGCCCCGATGAGGCTTGGGGCGGGGCATTTGAGTTCGGGAACGGGGACAGGGCATCCAAAACCCAGCCCAACCCGCCCCGTTGCCATTCCTAGCAATTGAGGGTGATTTTTCTAATACTATAAGATGGCTAAAGGAAAGAGCGGGTGTGCCTTGGATGTTGGCTTATTTTTTAGCAGTAGCTAGAGAAATCATTGGCTCAATGAATGTGAAGCTGAGTTGGAACCCAGGGAACAAAACACTCTAGTAGATGGCCTAGCTAAAACTGGTGCTCATAGAGCCTTCTTGTTTAGTGACAGTTTTCTGCTTTTGTAATTTTTGCTTTCTTTGGATTTGCACCTTGATGTACATCTTCTCATGTACCTCTTTTCTTTTAATAAAATCTCAGTTACTTTTGCTCAAAAAAAAAAAAAAAGACATTAACAAACTAGGATGGCTCACTCTGGACAATGCATTCATAGTAGTCATTTTTCAAATAATTTTCTACCTTACTATTCTGAAACTTCTCAAATAAGAAAGGGTATCCCAGTGCACAAGGCTCCTGCCAACAGGGCTGGGGAGGGACAGATGTACGCAGCCTTACCCCTGCACATACAGTCAGGCTGTTTCCAAGATTTGAACCCTGGTCACCCAGGTTGCAATGGAGCAACCCAACCATTGCACCAAGGCCCCACTCTCGAAACTTCCCTAATACAAGTGCATAATAAATTATAGACCATCTTGGTTAAACTATTCAAAGGGATATTAGAAGCTCTTGATTTTTTTTTTCTAAATTTTACCGAATTGGAAGTGTAATGTAATTTAAATTGGACACGTTTTATTTGCTTCATAACCATGGTTTCTTATAATTGTACTGAATGCAGGTGCCAATTTATGTAAACAGACAAATTGTCTTGTCTGATGCTATTAGAATTCTTTATGGAGCACCAAGAGGAAACAATGTGAAATCAGTTTATGATGTATCCTTGGACAGGTACATAATCATTATTAGGCTTCACTATTGCTGCTGTGTCTTATTTCTGTGATTTGTAATTCCAGCATATCTGCCTTTTATTGTGTTTTTTTTCTTCTATTTCAGTTCTTTTTTCCCTTTGCCTTCAGAACAACAAATATGTGCATCAATGTACAAAATGCCTATATGGATTATTTCATTTACCATTTCCCCTTTGTGGTCAAGCAGGGCAGTAGTCAGTTTGTTAGAAAGAAAGGACAGAATGACAAAATTTGATCCCAGGGTGTAGGAATAATTACTCCCCAAAGACTTTGCCAACTAGCTAGTTTTCATCCTCACAATTAGTTCATGTGTCATTCTTCCAACATCATTTTTAGTTCATCCAAATATGTGATATGAAAGTACGCATTTTTGAGTAGTCAATGCACATGGGAATTTGTTGAATGAACAACTGAAAACAAGAGGCATATTGGTCAAAATTGCTAGTGTGAGCATTTCTATGGCGCATGATATGACATGGTGGCCAACATGGCTCTTTTTTTTTTTTTGATAAGTAAAAGTTCATTAAAATTTCATTGATATAGAAAAGGATAAGCAACTGCTACAAGCATCCCAAAGGGAGGCGCGAGCTGCAGCCTCACTCTTAAAGAAAAAACAGCATGAAATTTACAAGTGTGCCCAAACAACTGATCCCTCATTATCCCTTGCTTAGATAACGAATCAGCCAACGTGGCTAAATTTCAGAAAATGTTTTATAATTGTTATGGGTTCTTTCTGGTCTAAACCAAATTATAGAGCTATATGACAGAAAGTGTGCCTATGCCATTCTACAATGTCTGGCATTTCTATTGGAGAGATTAAGGGGGGTGTTCTACAACATGAATGTTTTTGTTTTCATTTGTTTTTGGAATCGCCACATCAGCAAAAAAACAAAAACATGTTCTTGAACTCTGTTTTTGTTTTCAAAGGGAAAAAACAAGTTGATTTTGTTTCAAAAAACAATACATGTTTTTTGGAATCAACAAAATATTGGTTTTTAAAACAAAAATAATTTTCTAGTATAGAAAATACATGATTTATGGAACATGATATTGAATAATCAAATGAAAACATGCTCTTAAAACTAGATTCAAGAATGTGTTTTTGGTTTCAGTTCTGAAAACAAAAAACACATACACAATCAAGAACATGTTTCTTATATTTTTGTTTTAAGAAACAATATGTTTTCAAACAAGATGGTTTTGATTTGTTTTTGTAACTGGTAACAAGAAAAATAATTCATGTTGTAGAATGCCCCCTAATTAACAACTGTTCACTGTATTTCTGCTTGCCTTTTAAGGCTTTCAATTGGTGAGAAATATGAACAAGGCTTAATTCTAAACATGGAGCATATCTTCTCCAGTGCTGCAGATGGTCCTGATTTACTAGCTGGGGAACTCAATATGGTGAAGAATATGAACTTAGCCGTTAAAGAGGAAAGGTACAAAGATGCAGGTATTAGAAATAAAATAGCCTCCATTCTTTTTTACATAACTGGGATGGTATTGCTTCATTGCTTGTATTCTTACTTTTGATCTTGCATTGTCCTGGAAATGGTTACTGATGTGGCACTGTCATACTAGTGATAAATAAATTTTTTTATTATCAGCTACTATTGATAAATATAATTGGTTATTGGTTCCTTCAGCAATGTGGAGAGACAGACTCTCAAGGCTCTGGGCATCAAGCAAAGAACCTTAGGTAGGTCCTAAGGTACAAACATTTAATTTGGCTGCATGCTTGCTACAATATTTTCCATTCTTTTATTATTATTAGACTTGAAAAAGTCCAGAGAAGACCAGGTGAGTTTTGGATGGTATTTTAATATAACTTGCTATCACGTTAATTTTTTGTTACAGTAGTTGTTGATGTTTAGGTTTATGTGACTACTGTTATTGGCATTTACCATCTGCAACTTTAACAGGTGCATATTACTTTGTGTTTCTGATTGGGTGTTTTCCTCTTAAATGGAGTCAGAGGAACCATAATCCTGCAGAACATGATAGAACACTTTGTATCTTCCAGAGAATGGTATGTACAGCTCCTATGAATAGAAATGTTTTTACCATGTAAATATGAAATGATGCTAACTCTTATTGGTTCTAGGTTGTTGGGTGATCCATCTTTTCTGACAAAATATGTATGTCTTGGTAAATGAAATATCCGATAAAATTTATTAGCAAGTCTTTCCCTTGACCTGATTTTCTAAGAATAACCATCTCTTTTTTTTACTTGTTAAATGTGGCGTCATTGAGTTCTACCACCTAGTGGGCGTTTGGCATTACTGCATTTACACTTGATGTGTTTCAACCTGCAGTACCACAACCCCTACAATAATGTGTCGACGTTTTGGGTTGAAACACGTTTGGCAGTGTAGTGTGCTGATTAGGCGATTTTGCAATGTTTAAAGTTGCAACCTGTTTGGATGATATTGAAACACTTAAAACTGTTCACACCTAAATAGGGTACATCACTTTTCATTGGTCATTCAATCCATTTGCAGTGAAGGTTCCTTTTCAATGTCTCTCATTGATTGGAAATTTATTTCATAAATTTTTCTATAGTATTCTTACTAACAATATTATTTATTTCATAAAACTTGGACTGCCGTATATTGAAAATATATAATTTAACACTATTCCTGATGGTATCTGTTGGTATGTAGTTAGTAGAGAGGGCTAGATCCTATATAACAGCAGTTCCTAAATGACATCAAATATAATTCACCTGCATGAAATTCAGAGAATAATCGTAGGATCTTTATCCATATCTCATATTCCCATTAGGATTTTTTTTTTTTTGTATATCAAACAGTGGTCATCACCACAAAAATCCGTACATAAAACATCCATTGCATTCTTTTCAATTTCTTTCTTGATAATTTCCCTTGCGGAAGCCTTGTATCATCCAAGCTCCATTTATTGTCACTTTTCTTGTTACCAAAAAAATTAAATACATAATAAATAAATCTTGTCACTTTTCTCTGATACTACCCTTCAACTTCAGAAAATGTATTGAAATCCTCCTTTGTAATGAAACCAGCATCCCTCAACTCTCTCAATGATGCATCCAATCTATTAGTTCTAGCATCCATGTTCTTCACCTTGCCATCAAGCAAAACACCCATCTCTCTCTTCAACTTCTCTCATTTTCTTATCCAACACATCCACCTGAACCTGGACTTTTGCTACCCTCTCATTAGTTCTAGCATCCATGTTCTTCACGAACTCCTGGACTTTTGCTATCCTCCCTTCAAAATCCAAGTTGCCCGTCTGACCAATGACACTATTTTCATACAAGAGCTAACTTGCTAATCATCTCAACCAACCACGGCAAAAAGTAGCACGAAATTCTTCATGAAAAGTTTGAAACACTAAGAACAGTGAACTGCCAAATTGATTATATTCTTCTTCACCTGCAATAAATCTTTCAGCCTCTTGATTCAAATCCTTTATACTTCCAGCCTCCCACCCTTCTTGTCACTAATTTCAGAAACAGCTCCTGCAACCGTTTCAATCCCCAATTTCTTCTCCTCACATCAAACTTCAAACCAAAAGCCAAAGAAGGGCTATTATTGACTGCTAGATTTGATGCAATTGTGACAGTCGAAGAAAATATTGTTCAGCCTTAAACTCGCCTATAACCCCAGATTGAAAACAATGCAAAGTCAAAAACTGGGAAACCAAAATCAAGAAAAAAAAATAATAAAACTGAACAAAATCTAGTAAACTACAGAAGAGATTAAGATGAAACAGAGATGTCTACGATATTTGAGTGATGGCGGAGCTTGTATTCGGAATTTTGCGGCCCTCCTACGGATGGCAAGGCCGGTTTGCACGGTAAACCTTAAATAAGACTGGAGAGCTGGTAGTGCCAACTGCCAAGTATTGTTTCATGTTTTGTATTTATTGGGCTCTTGAGATTGTGTATGGTTGCGATGCACCGGACTGGATTGATGATAACCATTGTATCCATGTAGGATGATGACATGTCAATGATATGTTGGCTGAGTAGCTTGGGTATCTGAGGAAGCTAAAAAATCGGCTTCCTCCAAAGGCTGCATTCCCAAAAGTCCATGCAGAGTGTTGTGTTGCACTTCCTATTCGGTTTGATATTAATGTTAGTGTTGTTGGGTTCAGGTTGCAAAATCTCCAAAAATAAAAACAATTGCTTACTGGGTACTTCCACTTTTTTCACACCGGATGACAAGGAATTCGCATAAATGGCAATGCCCCACAGAGCACGCCCCATGGGCACCCACGTCACATCCCAACCATGTATTAGGAATTGGGATATTAGGAACATCTCCCAATGACAAGTGTAGAAGATGTTCCCAATGCATATGTGGGGCGCTTGTGGGCTGCCAATGTGAACTTGATGATAAGGCTATGCCTCTTTATTTTTGAAAAAATTTTGAGTGTTAGATGAGATGGCTTTAACATCCACGTCAACAATGGAAGTGCCTACAGCCTACTTTCGTGAAAGAGCTAAATAGGCAGGCATCTATAGATTCCAACCCGTGATGGGTTCTCATTATGGTATAGTGTGTCTGCCACCCATAATTTGTCATTCAACCCGTGATCGGGTCTAAAGTAGAATAAGTCTCAAACTGGTTATTAATTGGAACAAAATCATAGATCCAGAACCATCCCAGTTAAATAGTTGGGTCTATCAGCTTCAATCCTGATAGATCCAAATGTACTGAAAACTATATTTATTTATTTAATAACTTAAAAATTAAATTTTGATAACATAACCTTAATAGAAATGATAGAAAAATACTAAATTGTTTATATGTTAATAAATTTTATTATCTATAGAATTTATCATTTTAAACTTGAAATATGATAAAAATTATATAAAAAATTAATAAAGTATTATATATTTAATAAAATAATTGGTTCTGGGCCTGAATCTATTCGAGATGGACAAGAATCGGAAGTCGAATTGATCCAATTATTAATCTGGACAAAATCATGAAACCAGAATCATTATAATTGATTCAGTCGGTTCAAATCTATCGGATGGACATGACCCATTGAAGCCCCCTAAAGTGTCGTACTTTTTCTCTTATTGTTTTTTTTTCTATTAGTATGTTTATATTTTATCTCGCTCCACCTTTCCCCTCTTCATGCTACGGCACTGCTTGGTGTTTCTCTATTGTCTAATCATGGAGCGGGGCAAGATCAGGTATCAATGAAAATGAATTTGATTAGGTTCATTAAAGCCCAATCGGTTCATAGGCTCATAGCTGACCTGTTGCTATCCCTAATTAAAATCCTCTTGAGTTTTTTTAAGGGAAAAACCTTTCTGTAATTGTTATAGGATTCGACTATGATATCGGACTGAAGAATTTTTTATCAATGAGATCCAATATCCAGATGCATTTCAAAAAGATCCAATGACCCGGGATTCTCTGGTTGCACTGTAGCATCCGATTCCTGTATTTCACTTGTGCGGTTCTACCAAATGAAATCCCATGACAATCCGATAGGACGTTCTGCCAAATGCTAATCCCTTGAAAATCCGATACTACACGCCATGTATCAGCCATATTGTACCGGTTAGTTTGGTTTTTGTTAAACCTTGTGCGAACTATGAATCTCACTTAAAACGCTCAAATTCAAATATCCAACTTTTCCCCGAGTCAACCTAGCAAATTGCTCTCGAAACGGCACCTGTTAGATGAGAAAACTCATATGAAGAGTTTTGATCAATCAAAACCCATTCATGAATTTTGATAAATAACACTTGATTGACTATCAAGTGTTTATGATAGTATCATGGTTTATGTAAGTTTTTAGTATCATGGTGTCATGTGTTTATGATTCTGTTTTAATGATACATCAACGCTGTATAAACAAATATATTTGACTTTTATTTGGTAGGTTAATTAGGTAATAATGTTGTCTTGGATTATGTGAAGCTCACTTTGGGAGGAAATATCATTTGAGGTTTTCATTGTTGCGTTTCTTTTTTACCTATGTAAAGCCTAGTGGTGCTTATGTGTAATAAATCACAAAAGTTTGGCTTCCTCCAAAGGCTGCATTCCTAATTGCTTTTCTGTTTTGCCAGTCTTTGGGCAAACTCTAAATTTTGCTAAGTCGAATATCATGTTTTCAATAAAGTATTCATCCTAGATTGTAGAAAATATTATCAAGAATGCTCAAAATCCTTCTATAAGCAAAAAATGGCTTGTACTTGGGTGTACCCGTTTTTAATAGCAGATATTGTAAGAATACTTTCAAGTTTCTAAATGAGAAGATCACAAGTAAGCTGGCTGGTTGGAAGAAAACCTCTCCGTCCCTTGCTGGTAAAATCACCCTCATAAAAGCATCAACAAATATGGTTCTTTAGTACATAATGAGGGTTTTCAAAATCCCAAAAAGTGCCCTTGAGGAATTTCTTGTGCAAAAATAATTAGGATAGAAAGGCTCTTCATAGTCAAATAATAAAATTTTTAAAAATAGAAAATACAAAGAATCACAAAAATAAAAATAGAAAAAATTTGGGTGCATA